AAAAAAATCATTAAAAAAATGAAATCAAATTGTTTTCTGCAAACCAGGGGCGGAGCGAGGGGGCGGTCAGGGGTGTATAAGGCGAATATAAGGCCCACGCTCTATCGCTTCATCGTAAATAAAGCTAACAAGAAACTATGAACATACAATGTAGTTCTGTCGTCAGTTAAGCCATGAAATTACCAAAAAGGCGATTAGTGCATTCATCACATTAAAGAACATCTCTCAAATGCATGTACTAAAATATTGTGCAATTCGAGATCACATATACAATATAGGCCTACACAATTAGGCTTAAGCGTTTTTTTTTTTAATGTAATTTATTGCACAAGTAAATATGAACACAGTAACATTAGTCCTGTTAAGTGCAACCATAATCAAAGTAGGCTGCTCTTCTCAGCTCACTTTGAGCTAAAATCAGGATTCTGCTGACTCTATATGAACGTTAGACACAGTATCTGAACTGATTCTGCTCAGGTGTTTCTACACACGTCAGATTGATTGATTCATTTTAAAAGTGCACTTAAAAAATAAATGGCAGTGGTGTGTAATATTGAAAGAATATTTATATCACTTTCATAAAGCAAGATGCCTTAGAAGAAAACTTGGCATTAGTTTTTCTGCTGTTACGTTCAGATTTGTTCATTTTACAGAAGCTTCTATTGAATCTTATGAGGATCATTACAAGCAATTTGTTGTAAGAGCAGTAATTTTCATAATATTTGATGGCAAATTTCACGTATAAGCTGGATTACTGCACAAGCTGTTTATAGTTTCATATGCTGTCGTTTAATAGGAATATGTAGATTAGTCTACACAATGCATTAATGTTAAGTTTGTGGATCCTATCAGACATTAAACTATCTCTCTGTGCTCATTTGAAAAGTACTGAACTCTTGAATTTCCTCTCAGATCCACATTTGTTCACAGTTATCTGTAAGCAAACAGCTGATATAATAAATGTGACTGTTCGTCCCTGTGTGATGTCTGGATGTTATTTGCTGTTCTTTGTGCTGCTCTCCATTTTTACTTTCACTTTCACAGGAGATGCTGATTGGTTCCTGCTGCTGTCAATCATCCGAGAGGGGCGGGTTAAAAACCAGAGCAGAAAATCAGATTTAAAACCAGATTTGGTAAAACAAACATTTATTTAACATAATATTTGCTCAGGTTTTCTTGAAAGAAAGAAAAAGTAACTTTAAACAGAAATCGTTTATAATCTTTTGACATTCTTATCCTAATCTGACTCCAAAGGTTCGTCCCTGTGTGATGTCTGGATGTTGTTTGCTGTTCTTTGTGCTGCTCTCCATTTTTACTTTCACTTTCACAGGAGACGCTGATTGGTTCCTGCTGCTGTCAATCATCCGAGAGGGGCGGGTTAAAAACCAGAGCAGAAAATCAGATTTAAAACCAGATTTAGTAACACAAACATTTATTTAACATAATATTTGCTCAGGTTTTCTTGAAAGAAAGAAAAAGTAACTTTAAACAGAAATCGTTTATAATCTTTTGACATTCTTATCCTAATCTGACTCCAAAGGTTGTTTATTTATTCTTCAGTACAAAATTGCCTTACATTTGACAGAGAGTAATTTTATAATGTCTAAATATAAATATAAAATGGTGTACTATTTAGTGCCTTTGGTTGATATTCTTATTTTGAGTCAGTTGCTCAGTTTCTCCACTAGATGTCAATAAAGTTGCACTGATTCTGAAGAAATAACAGAAATGTATTCAATTATTTTAGCTTCATTAGGAACTATCTGAATTGAGCTCAACGATGACACTACATCGTCTTCTGTAGAGCTGCTTTAGAGCTGAAATCAAAGCAATTACAAGATTAAACATATGAGTAATTTCCTATTTATTACTGTGAAGCTGCTTTTAAACATTTACTTCAATAGAAAAATAATAATAATTTAATCTGTGTAACTGACATAAACTGAAAAAGAAAAAACATTATATTATTACATACAACTTTATGAGTAAAGAGACACATTTCTCTGAAATAATTAGATAAATGTCAGTTAGCCTTAAAATATGAATCTTAAAATCACCTCCAGTTGGTCAGGTAAGATAAACAATAATTATGTTATTTATTATTTATTTTTAGTACAATAAAACACTCATGTTTAAAAAAAAACAACACAATAATTAATTTCCATTACTTCTTCTTGTTGATATTATTATATTACGTGATATTACCTTCACTTCTGCAGATAATATGAACCTTATAGAGATTGAATCAGTGATTGTAGAGTTTGAGTAATATCCATCAGTGATCAGAGTTCAGCTAACTATCAATCACAGCCATATATTCAGATCAAGAGTCTGGTACTCATGTGATTAAATGTTGAAACATGATGAAAGATGAAAGCAGGAAGATCCAGAGCTGCAGGAGTAACGATTACTGACTCTTGATCGCTGAGATCCTCAGAGAGGAATAATAATAACAACAGAAGAATGGGAAGAGTGTGTGAGTGAAGGTGGTTGTGAATGTGTGTAGATGTGTGTTAGTTACAGGATCAGAGAATGACACTGTTCCTCTGTCATAGTCCAGATACACTCTCACACGCTCAAGCTGCTGTTTAACACGAACACCAGAACCTGAAGACACTCTGTACTGATCAAACCACACAAACCAGACATCAGTGTTGAAGAAACCCTGTCCCTTCCTCTGGTTTGATGCTGTAGTTACTCCGAGACTCCAGCATGAACTCTGTTTAACCTCCACATCCCAGCAGTGTGTTCCTGAGTTAAAACCCTCTGAACCCAGAACACAGTCATCACAGTCAAACCTCTCTGGATTATCAGGAACAGGTTGTTTGTTCCCGCTGACTCTCACACTGGTCAGATCATCAGACAGAACCAGATCTGGATGAGCCGTGTTTGGATCCAGAATCACGGGAGCTGATGAGACACAATCAACAGATGCTGTTATTCTGATGTTCATATAACGATCAAGAGTGAACCACACACAGATGATTATGAATTATGACACTCGTTCTGTTGATCAAACACTTCAGATATTTCCTCTGATCGCTGTCAGTCACTCTCTGTGTGATTTATCAAGACTGAAAGATACAGTCAGAAACAGTGAGGGACACAAACTCAAAACATGTTCATTTGAGTTATGCTCTCATTTATATTACATTATAGTGAGAAGCTGCTTTTCATACAAAATCTTACCTTTGAACACAGCTTTACACAGTGCTTTCATATTCAAACGAGATTATCAAAATAATAATGCAGAAGAAGTATTGTTCATATCCATATAATTTTCCTCTTGTATGAATCACAGAACTCTTTACTGAACGCTGCCTACTTATTAAAATAATAAACAAACAGTAGGTTTTATTCCACAATAATGGGTACATAATAATAATCTTGCTGATATTGTTAACGCTACAACTAAAACTATTAATAATATCTTCATTAATAAAAATAACAATAATTAAATAATATAAATAATAATTATTAGATGAAAATCTAACAATTAAAATTAAATGTAAATTAGAAAAGTCCTTTTGGCAACGAATTGAAATAAATTAACTTGAAGCATTAAAATGACTAAAACTAAAACTGAAATAAAATTATTTATAATTATGCGTATTAAATTTGAAGCTAAATAGAAAAATGTTAAAGTAATAAAAATGACAAAAGCATATAAATTATTTAAACTAAAATCTAAAAATAAAACCTAACTCAAAATATAAATAAAATAATTCCTCTGTCATAGTCCAGATACACTCTCACACGCTCAAGCTGCTGTTTAACACGAACACCAGAACCTGAAGACACTCTGTACTGATCAAACCACACAAACCAGACATCAGTGTTGAAGAAACCCTGTCCCTTCCTCTGGTTTGATGCTGTAGTTACTCCGAGACTCCAGCATGAACTCTGTTTAACCTCCACATCCCAGCAGTGTGTTCCTGAGTTAAAACCATCTGAACCCAGAACACAGTCATAGATGTCAAACCTCTCTGGGTTATCAGGAAGAGGTTGTTTGTTCCAGCTCCATTTCACACTGGTCAGGTCATCAGACAGAACCAGATCTGGATGAGCCGTGTTTGGATCCAGAATCACAGGAGTTGATGAGACACAATCAACAGCTGCTTTTATTCCAAACCACATTCACTTCAATCGTCTCAATCGACACACATCAACACATCACATCATTCAGATCTGAGACAAACTCAGACACCCAACATATAACAGATCCAGAAGCAGATTGCTGCTCATCATTTACAAAAATAATCAACTGGAGTCCATTATATTAAATATATCAGATCATAACTGTATCTAGTGATCTACAGCTGTAATGAAGATGACTCTGGATTCTGTTTCCTCACCTCGATGTGTTGAACTGTTTTCTCAAACTCTCCTTTCATTTCTTCATTGTGTTTCAGTTTCTCCTGTAATGATTTCAGTGCTGTATTGAGCTCCTCCTAGAATTGAGAACAAAAATACATTAAAAACACCAGATTACAGTAAAAAAAGAAGAGAAGACGAGACAGTGATATGATCATATAATGCTGTGCAAAAGTTTTTGCACCCATCCTGATTTCTTGTTTTTGTGAACATCTCATACTAAACTCATTCAGAAATTAAAACCTGCCATAAAACAAAGAAACCTGGGTGAAGACAAAATACCAATGATATTTAGTGAAGCAGAGAAAGTTATCCAATATCTACTGGACCTGTGTGAAAATGTGTTTGCTCTGTAGTTATTAATTCCCCAAATCTGTGAAACTGCATTGATAATGGAGCTCAGCTGGACTAAACACAAGCAGTCCTGATCAATCAAATCAACTCATAAATAGGACTTTTCAACAGCATGAAGCTAAAAAGTAAAAACAAAACTCATTTATCTCACCTTATATGATGAAACCATTTCATCAATGGGCCTGAATTTATGATTGTCGTGTTTCTTTGAATTAACACACACTACACACACCGGCTGTTTGTCCTCCAGACAGAAGAGTTTGAGTTTCTCACTGTGTAAACTGCAGATCTCCTCAGATCCTGATGAACGCCTCTCATTTCTCTCCTTCAGGAACGACTCGCACAGGTTTTTTAACACTAGATTAACTGGAGGATCATGTTTTGAGGATCTTCTCCTGCAGACGGGACACTCCTGAGTTTCTTTGGTTGTCCAGAACTGTTGAAGACACTCTTTACAGAAACTGTGACTACATGACAAAAGAACAGGAGTCTTGAAGATCTCACAGCAAACAGGACAAGAAAGCTCTTCTGCAGATACAGTTAGTGAAGCCATTTTCACTGTTCGAGCTCCAGCGATCTGAACTTTACTTTCACTTTCTGAACGATGGTTTGAAAAATTAATCAAGATCTGCTGTCGGTTCACAAACAAACGTCTCAAAAATTCTTATTTAAAGCATGTTTCTTCCTTCTTCGTTGATGGCTGATTCTTTATGGCTTTTGTCAGTAGAGAAGAGAGTCAGTGTGACAGAAAGCAGAAATAAGCGTCAGTCTCTTCCTGGTAAGAGCTGTAAGAGGGAGGAGTTTATCAGCAGGTGTGTTTAAACAAGTCAGACAGGAACACTATAAAACCGTCAATAAAATACACAAATATTCATGTAGCTGCGTCCCATTGTGAAGGGTGCGTGTTTTGGAAAAAAATATATTTCCACAGCCATATCACCCTGCAGCCCAAGACTGGTCGCCCACTGAAGCTAAGCAGGGTTGAGCTGGTCAGTACCTGGATGGGAGACCTCCTGGGAAAACTAGGTTGCTGCTGGAAGAGGTGTTAGTGAGGCCAGCAGGGGGCGCTCACCCTGTGCTCTGTGTGGGTCCTAACACCCCAGTGTAGTGATGGGGACACTATGCTGTCAAAGAGCACCGTCCTTCGGAAGAGACGTTAAACCGAGGTCCTGACTCTCTGTGGTCATTAAAAATCCCATGGCACTTCTCGTAAAGAGTAGGGGTGTAACCCTGGTGTCCTGGCCAAATTGCCCCCCTGGCCCTTGTCAATCATGGCCTCCTAATAATCCCCATCCACTTGATTGGCTCTATGACTCTCTCCTCTCCACCTGTAGCTGGTGTGTGGTGAGCGCACTGGCGCTGCTGTCCTGTGGCTGCCGTCGCATCATCCAAGTGGATGCTGCACACTGGTGGTGGTTGAGGAGAGACCCCCCACATGATTGTAAAGCGCTTTGGGTGTACAACAATACACAGTAAAGCGCTATATAAATATATATTCAGCGCTTGGATACTGCAAACAGTCCAACTGCAAAGGCCAAAAAGGCCAAATAAAACTCTAAATGAATAGCATGTTACAGAACAGTCAAATACTGTAAGTTGTGCGATTGTAAAATCAGGGTCAATGAGAGATTCATTCTGTCTCAGCATCATGTCTGTGTGCTTGAGTCCGGCCTGAGGACTTTGTCCACATCACAAGTAATGCTGTCTTTTCTGCTAGACAAAGAGAAAAACCCCATCCAGCCTTGATACAGTGTTTCTCGATTGCTAACACACAATTCATGAAACAATTCACCAGTTTCTCACAACTATAAACACAATCTCAAAGCTACACACAAACTTGTGCAAACTTCAGACTTCCAGCTCAAAATCAAATAGTTTAGTCAAAAACATGTTCTCTTTTGTCAGACTCAAACTTTGGCCTCAGATGACACACAAACCTGTCAAATACACACATACTGCACTGTCTAGAGAACACTAGTGAGATCAACTCAACACTGTTACTAAAACCTGCTTTTGGGAAACAGGGATCCTTTTGCTAGTCGATGTCTGTTACAGTATACGACATAAACAGAGGGATGCAGACACAGTCAAATTCAGCATTAAACTGTAAGAAAAGTTTACTGTCATTACACTACTGTGAAGAGATCTTACAGTAGATGAAAAGCACTAGAAGAGAAAAGTTCAAAAACCAAACAACTGAATATACAGTAAACACACATTGGAATATACTGTCAGTTACTGTACAGCAATAAATTAATTAATTCTGCATCCTCGCCAAGTTGCATTACAGTTTTGGTAATATCCTTATTTGTTATACTATAGCAGTTTCTTAGTCTTCTGACAAAAGATTTTGTCTGCCTCCGCTCGACAGTCGACTCTCACAAATACATGTAAGAAGTACTCGGCTACAAATCAATTCAACAGTTATGAGTTTGAGGGTGTGTGTGTGCTACAGTATATTTACAGTACAAAGAACAGTGAGAGTCCTTTCATCTGAAATACTGCTGCTATGTACTGTAAGTGTAATGTGTTAGTAGTGTAAACACTGCAGATGATCCTGCAGGCCAGCTTTCCTTATGATCAGTCCATGCACAAGAACATGCTCAACTATAATAATGTATATTTCATCAGCAACAAATGACCTTTGACCTCGTTCCCTTCAGTTTTATTGTCCCCTCCTCTTCCTCTTTGTCTCTCACTTCCAGGATTCATTTTCCAAAACTCATAATCACTTGTGCTCGTGTGCATATCATCCTGAGATTCTGACTGTGTGTCATCAGTTTTGCTGCTGAATGTTCACACATGGATAAATGTGTGCTGTTTGAGTTCATTTTGTGATTCTTGAGGTAGTTATATTGTGTGTTTGTGTTTTCTGAATGAGAACATGGTTAGGGATCGGGAGCATTACATGTAAATAAAAAATAAAATTAATTTGTGCATTTTAATATTTGAAAGACAAAAGACTTCCAAAGACATAGTAATACATGGTTATATCATCAAAAGTTATAACCCACTGAGTGATAATTCAAATGAAATTAATGTTTATCCATAGGCCTAGTTAATGCAACGTTGAAATATTCACACAACACTTAATCAAATTGACATTAATTTTGCAAATCCAGTGATCGAGTGCTGTGTGGCCTCTCAATTTTCTGTGTAATTATATCTACCTGACTAATGACTGCTCTTTGTGTGGATGTCCACAAAACTGGAAGACTTTCTGAACGTGTATAATGAGAGGGCTATTTTAGAAAGGAAACTTTAAAAGAAGAAATCAGGAGAATCAATAAATGATGAGCAATTCATTGGTAGAGTGTGAATAATCAATCATGCAATGAATAAAAAGTAACTGTAGTCAGATTACTAGTATTGTAAAATGTAGTTTAATCTAATTACCTGATTATGTAATCCAGATTACATGTAATCAGTTACTTACTATCCAGCTCTGCTGTAATTAAAGCTTATGACACAATGCTACATTTGTAGAAGGACAAGTAGAAAGTAGAATCTAGTAAAGCAGACACAAGTGTATTTGATGAAGGCATCACAGTAACTTGTCTGTATTTATGAACATCCAGATCCATTCAAATTGTGCATTTCAATGATATATTTGGTGGTCTAAAACAAGTTTATATTATGGATATTGAGTCAAATATGTTGGCCTAGGCAGTTTTCCGTCTTGTTTTATGTGGTTAATATCATTTAGTGCTCTGCTATCTGTAAGGTGCTTTTGGCTTCAGATCGTAGGAAAAGGTGCTTTGTTGCATTAAATCTTGTGCAGTTCAGACAAAGGCAGGGGCATATGGGACAGATCTGGCTCACACACATCAAGCTGGTTTTAGTGTGTGTTGTGGCTTGTTGTTTGTGTGTGGGCCAGATATGGCCCCTATTTGACAAAACAGCTTTATGGTGAGCTGTGGCTTGTTGTGTGCGGGCCATAGTTTTGGCTCATTGCCTGCCCTATTCAGTTTAATACTGTCACACTTTTAAATGACATAGAAAGTGTCACTTTGTCCCACTATCACGTGCAGATGGTCTCCCAGTGCTCAGTACAGCAGTAATTATACTCTAACAAAATTATACTCCAACTACATCACTTCACATTAGAGGATTCTGGTGGGTTGAAGCGCATATCTCCACACATGGACATAAAGTTCAAAGCATATCTCCGAAGATAACATGGGATGACTACAGGGATTTGGTTTCAGGCGTGAAGTGGCCCACCAAGGAGGTATATCAGCACATCTAGCAGCAGGTTGTCTGAAGATGTCCATTCTGTCCTGAGAGAGTTGGGAGAGAAGTCTAGTTCTGTGAACACAGATGCCCACATACAGAACACTTCTTCAAGGTCGAGTGCTCAGGCTCGTACTCTTATCAGGTGCTTCCTAAAACATCCAGAGAGAAATCAACACAATATTTGACTTCATTCTTTGATATGCAGGGACAAAGAACAAAGTAAACATTCATGTAGATGAGGGGCCCTGATGACCTTTGGTGGGCCTGAGGAGTAAATCTGTGAAAAACCCCATCCAGCCTTGATACAGTGTTTCTCGATTGCTAACACACAATTCATGAAACAATTCACCAGTTTCTCACAACTATAAACACAATCTCAAAGCTACACACAAACTTGTGCAAACTTCAAACTTCCAGGTCAAAATCAAATAGTTTAGTCAAAAACATGTTCTCTTTTGTCAGACTCAAACTTTGGCCTCAGATGACACACAAACCTGTCAAATACACACATACTGCACTGTCTAGAGAACACTAGTGAGATCAACTCAACACTGTTACTAAAACCTGCTTTTGGGAAACAGGGATCCTTTTGCTAGTCGATGTCTGTTACAGTATACGACATAAACAGAGGGATGCAGACACAGTCAAATTCAGCATTAAACTGTAAGAAAAGTTTACTGTCATTACACTACTGTGAAGAGATCTTACAGTAGATGAAAAGCACTAGAAGAGAAAAGTTCAAAAACCAAACAACTGAATATACAGTAAACACACATTGGAATATACTGTCAGTTACTGTACAGCAATAAATTAATTAATTCTGCATCCTCGCCAAGTTGCATTACAGTTTTGGTAATATCCTTATTTGTTATACTATAGCAGTTTCTTAGTCTTCTGACAAAAGATTTTGTCTGCCTCCGCTCGACAGTCGACTCTCACAAATACATGTAAGAAGTACTCGGCTACAAATCAATTCAACAGTTATGAGTTTGAGGGTGTGTGTGTGCTACAGTATATTTACAGTACAAAGAACAGTGAGAGTCCTTTCATCTGAAATACTGCTGCTATGTACTGTAAGTGTAATGTGTTAGTAGTGTAAACACTGCAGATGATCCTGCAGGCCAGCTTTCCTTATGATCAGTCCATGCACAAGAACATGCTCAACTATAATAATGTATATTTCATCAGCAACAAATGACCTTTGACCTCGTTCCCTTCAGTTTTATTGTCCCCTCCTCTTCCTCTTTGTCTCTCACTTCCAGGATTCATTTTCCAAAACTCATAATCACTTGTGCTCGTGTGCATATCATCCTGAGATTCTGACTGTGTGTCATCAGTTTTGCTGCTGAATGTTCACACATGGATAAATGTGTGCTGTTTGAGTTCATTTTGTGATTCTTGAGGTAGTTATATTGTGTGTTTGTGTTTTCTGAATGAGAACATGGTTAGGGATCGGGAGCATTACATGTAAATAAAAAATAAAATTAATTTGTGCATTTTAATATTTGAAAGACAAAAGACTTCCAAAGACATAGTAATACATGGTTATATCATCAAAAGTTATAACCCACTGAGTGATAATTCAAATGAAATTAATGTTTATCCATAGGCCTAGTTAATGCAACGTTGAAATATTCACACAACACTTAATCAAATTGACATTAATTTTGCAAATCCAGTGATCGAGTGCTGTGTGGCCTCTCAATTTTCTGTGTAATTATATCTACCTGACTAATGACTGCTCTTTGTGTGGATGTCCACAAAACTGGAAGACTTTCTGAACGTGTATAATGAGAGGGCTATTTTAGAAAGGAAACTTTAAAAGAAGAAATCAGGAGAATCAATAAATGATGAGCAATTCATTGGTAGAGTGTGAATAATCAATCATGCAATGAATAAAAAGTAACTGTAGTCAGATTACTAGTATTGTAAAATGTAGTTTAATCTAATTACCTGATTATGTAATCCAGATTACATGTAATCAGTTACTTACTATCCAGCTCTGCTGTAATTAAAGCTTATGACACAATGCTACATTTGTAGAAGGACAAGTAGAAAGTAGAATCTAGTAAAGCAGACACAAGTGTATTTGATGAAGGCATCACAGTAACTTGTCTGTATTTATGAACATCCAGATCCATTCAAATTGTGCATTTCAGTGATATATTTGGTGGTCTAAAACAAGTTTATATTATGGATATTGAGTGAAATATGTTGGCCTAGGCAGTTTTCCGTCTTGTTTTATGTGGTTAATATCATTTAGTGCTCTGCTATCTGTAAGGTGCTTTTGGCTTCAGATCGTAGGAAAAGGTGCTTTGTTGCATTAAATCTTGTGCAGTTCAGACAAAGGCAGGGGCATATGGGACAGATCTGGCTCACACACATCAAGCTGGTTTTAGTGTGTGTTGTGGCTTGTTGTTTGTGTGTGGGCCAGATATGGCCCCTATTTGACAAAACAGCTTTATGGTGAGCTGTGGCTTGTTGTGTGCGGGCCATAGTTTTGGCTCATTGCCTGCCCTATTCAGTTTAATACTGTCACACTTTTAAATTACATAGAAAGTGTCACTTTGTCCCACTATCACGTGCAGATGGTCTCCCAGTGCTCAGTACAGCAGTAATTATACTCTAACAAAATTATACTCCAACTACATCACTTCACATTAGAGGATTCTGGTGGGTTGAAGCGCATATCTCCACACATGGACATAAAGTTCAAAGCATATCTCCGAAGATAACATGGGATGACTACAGGGATTTGGTTTCAGGCGTGAAGTGGCCCACCAAGGAGGTATATCAGCACATCTAGCAGCAGGTTGTCTGAAGATGTCCATTCTGTCCTGAGAGAGTTGGGAGAGAAGTCTAGTTCTGTGAACACAGATGCCCACATACAGAACACTTCTTCAAGGTCGAGTGCTCAGGCTCGTACTCTTATCAGGTGCTTCCTAAAACATCCAGAGAGAAATCAACACAATATTTGACTTCATTCTTTGATATGCAGGGACAGAGAACAAAGTAAACATTCATGTAGATGAGGGGCCCTGATGACCTTTGGTGGGCCTGAGGAGTAAATCTGTGCTTAGCACATGGAGGGAATTCTCTGGAAAAACAAGGAGAGAGCATATTTCAGTAACAGAATCCAATTATTCAGATGTCATACACTCATAACTTTATTCAGGTAAGGCTTTGTGAAAATTAATACTGCAACTTGTTCATGTTGTTTGGTGTCAGCTCAAAACTTTACCCTTTAGATGTTAGATTTATAATGAATAACACTGATCATCTGCCACCTTATTTGTGTGATAGCTGCTGTCAGAAGAAACAGACTAATCGTCACAGCAGCAGAAATGTTTAAAAAGTCTCAGGTGTGTGTGTATGTGTGTGTGTGTTGAGTGTGTGAGTGTCTGTGTGAGTGGGAGTGTGTATGTGTGTGTGTGCGTTGAGTGTGTGAGTGTGTGTGTGAGTGGGAGTGTGTGTGTGTGTGAGTGGGAGTGTGTGTGTGTGTGTGTATGTGTGTGTGTGAGTGGGAGTGTGTGTGTGTGTGCGCGTTTTTGTGACAAATGAGGACATAAATTTGTATAATGACAAAGGTATGACATAGGTATTACAAGGAGAAGGTGACTTTTCAGGACATTACCCCATGTCCCCACTTTTCAAAACGCTTATAAATCACACAGAATGGAGTGTATTGAAAATCTGAAATAGCACAAAGTTTCCTGTGAGGGGTAGGTTTAGGGGTAGGGTTGGTGTAGGGCTATAGAATATACGGTCTGTACAGTAGAAAAACCATTACGCCTATGGAGAGTCCCCACTTTTCACAAAAACAAATCTGAGTGTGTGAGTGTGTGAGTGTGTGTGTGTGTGTGTGTGTGAGTTCAGTGTTGGTCGATCAGGCTCCTCCTCGTCAGGTAACAAACTGAAAGTATCTAAACGCTACTTCTGTCTTTTGACCAAATCCTCGACGTGTGTCATTTAAAGAGCCTGATTTATTAACCTTTTGTGCTGGATTTGTTTTCTGAGAAGAGTTATTCTTGTGATCTTTCACTAAAGATGGTGGAGAGACCTACAGGTATGAAATATCTTCACTCGGACTCAAAGACTGTAGATGTTGTTGCCAAATTGATTTAATTCCATGAAGTTTCTGTTTTCGGAGTAGTGCAGCCTAACAGTTTTTTACATATTCGTACACCAAACATGACTAGAAATACAGAGAAACAAATCAAATGTGAATAGTCGTTTTACACCAAAAGCGCGAGTAGTGAATATCCATTGGACTGAAGTCAGTGTTCAGAACAGATAACAGTAACACCTGCTGTCATCAGACTGTAGAAACAAGAACGAGTCCATGACTAATGTTCTTTCAGTCACCTAGTCTGTATGTTTGATCATGTTAAAATGCTGTAAAATGTATGAATTTGTTTATGTAGGTCGACTGCGAATGCAGAGACAGAGTCTCAATCAGTTCTATAGCTACTGATCTGATAATCATACTTACCGCTTGCTCAGTTTCTGTAAATGAATAAAAGAATGGCTCTGCTCCACCAGGGCCGGCCCAAGCCTTTATGGGGCCCTAAGCAGAATTATACATGGGGTCCCCTCGGTGCACCAATACGGCTGATTATTGTCAGTGCTTGATTATTCACACACTATAAATCTAACACACACATTATCAGTTTTATTTGTTGTAGCTGTGTTGCTCATCATACCAATGTCTGTCTGGCTTGTTTTTACCCTTCTGTGGTTTTTAATTGTAACAGCAGCAAACCCACAGCAGCGGTCAGCTGTTCATTTGCATTTTAATATTCAAAGTCTTAGCATTGGCCCTCAGATCTGATGTGTGGCCCCGGGTTCCTCTGACGCGGAGCCAGAAACAGACGTGCTTCATATATCACAACTGTTCAGTGTTTTCAACCACATAAAGTGTACTTTAGGATTCAGACATTTAAATAGACATTTCAATTAAGGACTAGCAAAAAACACATTTATAGTTTGTTAAAAACACACTGGTTTATATGGAAAGCAGCAATAATAATCCTTTCAATTAAATGTGATGAAGTGTTTTATTCCTATCAAACACTGTGTAGGTAACAATAAAGTTCACGCTGTTTTTCTCCCAGTTCACTGGACACTTACGTCCTACTTTCATGTATTTCGGGAGAAATGGGTGAATTATGTGATGTTAATCTGACAGATGCACACGATTATAGATCAACTGTAGCGCATTAATTGATAGATTAACTGATATGGTCATTAATTTACACATATTTGACAACCAGAATAGTCTATATCATATAGTGTATGATATAGTTAACAAGTTTGTGGATATTTTGAATATAAAAGGAAAAACTTGATATATCTGTCAGCGCTATTGTGGCCTGCATGATGCGTCGCTATGAAGATAATAAGATGATACGTAGATTATTTCATTATTTAATATTTCATTTTTGTATAATTACTATTTTACATTGACGTAATATATCACAAAAAATAAAATGAAATGAAAGAAATCTTTTCACGTTCTTTGTGAAACATAGACAAAGTATATTGGATCTTTTAGTATATCGTAGAAGATATGCTAGAAGAAGTAGTTCGTACTCTTGACCTCCAATGAGAAGAATAACATCTTCACCTGATGTCTTGTATCATATTTTTATGTCATTTATGTCAGTGATCATCTTCAGTCCAGATGATGCTGTGATCCGGATTCTTCTGCTGGGCAGAAACACTTCTGGGAAAAGCTCATCTGGGAACACTATACTGGGAGAAGAGAGGTTTAAAAGGCACGAGTCTGAGGTGTGTGAGGGTCAAGCTCAGATCTGTGGGAAGCAGGTTGCTGTGATTGATTGTCCAGATCTACTGGATCCAGATCTGAATGAAGAGCAGCTGGAGAAGATGAAAGTTGAGGGAATGATGACGGAGAACGGAGGGAAATTTATGATGGAACAAATGAAGAGGAATAACAGCAAAGACACTCCTCGTGTCATTTGTAAGTTGTCTTGTATATTGTTGCCATTATAAATGACATGAATGATAAAAACATATGATGGATTGAGTGTTCAAGTTGAAGACACTCGTATGTTACGCTGAAAATGGTTTGATATTGCTGTTGTAGTTTCAGAGAGGAAAGACCAGATCAGACCGGTTCTGCTGGGAAAAGTGCCGATGAAAACAGCATGGTCTGCAGAAACATGTTTGAATCTTTGACACAGTGTGACTCAGAAACCCACGAGAGCAACAAGATCTCAGAGATCGACACACCAGCGCTCGTTTACACCAGCTGTTAGTGAGGAAAACCACACTTAGACGTGATGCAAAAAATTCCCACACTACTAATATCTGACCATTTCACTATTAAACTGTGTTGAATTGTACGTCCACATATATAAGCTAAATATTCACGGCAATCTCCAATCAGGCAAGCTCAGTAAGCTCATGTCTTACCTGACAGACTTCAGTGCTTTAGGCAGATATGATGATGTTTGACATTTAACTCGATTACTTGTTAAGAGCAAGAACATTATGAGAATAAATGACTCTCCGTTTGCATCGCTGCATGCTGTGTGCCAAAGAAATCGATCGAGATGTCTTGTGTTTTTGTGTGTCAGTATTTACTTATTGCTTATATGAGTGTAATTTACTACAACAGTACCTTATTTCATGTTCAGTATTTCAGGGGAAACTACTGTTAGTTGCTAAATGTTTTCTTTAGTACAGGTATTTACTTTTTAAGTCAGGTTCAGAAACTTTAGTTTGGTCTAAATTAAAGCCATTAAGTAAAACTGATCATCTCTTGGCTATTTTTTTTTTCTTTCTGTTAATACATATGTGTACTATTTGTAAGCACTCTTAAATTGAGAGAGAGAGGGAGAGAGAGAGAGAGAGAGAGAGAGAGAGAGAGAGAGACAGATGTTTTCTTTAGTACAGGTATTTACTTTTTAAGTCAGGTTCAGAAACTTTAGTTTGGTCTAAATTAAAGCCATTGAGTAAAACTGATCATCTCTTGGCTAACTCTTCTTTATTTTACTCCCGACACAAATGAACTGTGAACTCGATAGATTAATAAATGGCCTGTTATTGTTGACGCTGTGGTCTACTGTGGTAAACATTGTGAAATAAACATTGTAATATGATATTTTAGCTTCACACAGTTGTGGCCAAAGGCTTTTGTGTTTTATTAATTGTCTTGAATCAATCAATTTGTTCGTTGAAATCAATTTAGCATCATTGTGTTTCAGCTGATTTTATATCTTATCACAGTGATTGCAGATTTCTGCTCTTTTTATTTTTATAGTTCTTCTGTATTGTTCGTAAATATAATGCATCAGCTGATATACTAAAAATAAAATTGGTGCTCCTTTTATACAGAAGCTGTCTTTGGAGGGAACAGAGCTATGATTCCTGTTAGGTACAAAATCACTTAAATATGTCATCAGTTCAATTAAAATAAATGACAAAGGACTTATTTGCGTGACTTTAATTTAGCGTTTAAAACAGCATGTGAAACAGTGATGATACAGAATGAAGTTTGATGGATGTTGAAAGTCCTGCAGGTGGCGCCAGATCTGCATTATTGCAGATTATTAGTGACAGGGTGATTAAAGTTTATTAAACAAACTCTCGCAATGTTTCTCTGCGTGTGTCTGCTGTTTCTTGTGTCCAGAGAGCTGTGTCTGTAAACACTGAAATGAGTTTAATCTATGAGTTTGTTCTATTCGTTCAGTTCAGATCAGTGTGAGTTTGAAGAGCTTCTGCTCATTCCTGCCCAGAGAGAGTGCACGCACTTAAAACCTGTCTCTCCTCTAGCTCAAACTGTCCTGTGCACTCGCAAATCTCTCTGTGCTCATGTGCTAGATATTCATTCTTTTCACCTGAATTAAACCTTGTCAAATGTTATCAGCCTATCAGATTTCAAAGATGGATCTGTAATTTCTTTATAATTTAATACACCAATACCGATACTGGTCTCCTGTACTCGTACTCGTACTCGTTAAAATGCCCCGATACCAAATGCCGATACCACACAGCATGTGATAAGCTCCATATTCAGACAAAGAAACACCAACAACAGAACAACAGATAGCAGAATGGAGTTAAGGACGTCTACTACGAAGTATATGTATGCAATGAATATAATGTTAAACATTCAGTATTAACACCTGTATAGCTGATGTGCGCGTTGCACGTTGACCAGATACAGACTCAGCGGACACAAGCTGATGATAGAGACGGGCAGACACAGAAAAACATGGCTGCCACCGGAGCAGAGATTGTGTACACACTGTGATCTGAATCAGATGGAAACAGAACTGCACTACCTATCAGAATGCCCCAAATACACAGATATACGGACAGTGTTCTATGATAAAGTACAGCAGATCCATCAGACATTTAAAACTCTTTCAGACCAGGAGAAAGTGCCGTATCTGTTAGGAGCACAGAAGAACTGCTGTGTGTTTGCTGCTCAATATGTGTCTGCCTGTCACCATAGAAGAGAAAACACTCACCCTGCCCTGATCTGATGTTTCCAGAGAGAGAGTACAGTATGGCAGAGTATCTGTACACAGTGTCAGATAAGAAACTGAGAAGCACGTTGACCAGATACAGACTCAGCGGACACAAGCTGATGATAGAGACGGGCAGCCAAAGAAAAACATGGCTGCCACCGGAGCAGAGATTGTGTACACACTGTGATCTGAATCAGATGGAAACAGAACTGCACTACCTATCAGAATGCCCCAAATACACAGATATACGGACAGTGTTCTATGATAAAGTACAGCAGATCCATCAGACATTTAAAACTCTTTCAGACCAGGAGAAAGTGCCGTATCTGTTAGGAGAACAGAAGAACTGCTGTGTGTTTGCTGCTCAATATGTGTCTGCCTGTCACCATAGAAGAGAAAACACTCAACCTGCCTGATCTGATGTTTCCAGCACATCTACATTATATTACGCCAAATTACTGTATTATATTACTTAGATGTATATTTTGCTTCTGTAAATATGTCTAATCCCTTATTTTATTATAAAAATATCGGTATCGGTACTCGGTATCGGCAAGTACCAAAAATAAACGTATCGGTATCGTGTGTATACTGGAAAAAGTGGTATCGGTGCATCCCTAATTAGAAATTAATCGGGTGCTTGGATTATTTGTAAATAACCTAGATTAACAGTTTGGCCAAACCCCTCTGAGCGATTTATCTAAACACAAACAAAAAAGTAGGCCTATATGATTCTTAAAGTTCATGTGGTCATATAGCCTATTGTGCACTTGGAATTAAATACATATATATATATATCTTCTGATTGTCATATAACTGTATATTCACGGTTTGAGAGTGCCACTGAATGTGTAGCTATAGGGTTTTCATGAAAAAAAGAAATCGAACTAAAATCAGAACTGAAAACAAACACTGGATTTAAAAAAAAAAAAAAAAAAATCCCAATTTTTAGATATGCAGCAAAGTTGCAATTTCCAGGAACGAGGCGAAAACGAAGTTTCATAAAAACCTGTCTTCACACACACATTATTTCTTTCATATTCACACAGATAAATTCAAATGACACCTACAAAATTCCTTGGTCCCTGAACTATTAGAGATAAGTTTCCCAGGCAGCTGTACAAAAACGGTGCATGGGTCCCTGTTCTCTCTCTCTCTCACTCTCCTGCGCTTTCACTGTCTCTTATCTAAAGCTGAGTCAGGAGGTGGTCTTAGTTGGCAATTCACATTCTGACGTGCCCTTTCAAAATGGCAGCTTGTCTTCTCCGGGTCCCCAGTGCAGCTACGACCAGTGTCTCATATTAATGAGATGTACAAATCATCCAAGCACCCAATTCAGCCATTTCTAATATAGGCCTTTGCAGACTATTGAAATAATAATAGATATATAATTAAAATAAGATATACATTTATTATTTAATGACATGTCTTAACAGATGAATAAAAAGATTGCATGTGCTTAAAACTTTATTTCTAATATGTGTATGTTGTTATCCGTGGGACACAGTATGAAAGTTAATCCACTACAGAGTTTCAGAGACTTAGACTGGAGTTAACTAAAAGATAACTTGTGTAGTGCAATGTTGAATCAGAGCGAGATTGGGTGACCAAGTTCATAGACATTTTGATTCAAACGCTATTTAACAATAATAATGGAACTTGTTGATTAAATATTTAAATAAAAGGAATTCTGTTATGTTGGTTGGGAAAAATTAATTCACCATTGCAAGATTATTCTGAATCATGTATGCAAATATAGAAGATAAATTATGATTGAAGTCTAGTTTACCATATGCATGTCATGCTGTTATAAAGGGAAGGATTCTTCTGTTTAATTGCAGTATATAATAAAGCTAGATTACTGCTGCGTTCTGCATTTCTGCAAAGAAAAAACTGCTTGCTATTTTTATGCAATGAAGAACTTCCTTTACTAAAATAGAATAAGGGAACTGCTGTTTTTAACCAGATGAGATTGTTTTTATTAAGGGACCATTGAAAGAGATGGTTGAAAAGTGAAAATTAGATAAAGAGCAGATTTGGTCAGAGTTTACAAAGGTTCAATTTGATTAATGCAGTCTCTGAGTGTTCAAATTCAGATGGCTTCTGGAACAGTGCCTTGATAAAGGGAATCAATGAACTGGAGTCTGTCTAACAAAGTGGTGAAGAAGCAAAGACAGCTGCAGAGAGAAGAAGAGGGAGGGGTTGATGGACGCTCCCCTCCGCTCCTGCACACTTCTGCATGAAGACTGACTTAATGCAGGAAACTGAATTATTGACAGCAATGCTGAACTCTTTGGGAAAAAGAAAAAAAAAGGGTGACAAGATGTCTAATAGAAAAAAATATGGCTGATAAAATAAAAATATTGGTCACTCCATTTTGTTTAATGGTACTTTTCTAGGGCTAGATTGATTAAAATAATAATAATAATAAAAAATTACCCCAAAGATCCAAAATCATGAAATCACATATGCTGTCATCACTGCGGATAACAAGATGGAAATGTTGATGGCCATGGATCCTAGATTATGCAGAGTTTTGTTTAATGGTACTTTTCTAGGGCTAGATTGATTAATAATAATAATAATAATAAAAAATTACTCCAAAGATCCAAAATCATGAAATCACATATGCTGTCATCACTGCAGATAACAAGATGGAAATGTTGATGGCCATGGATCCTAGATTATGCAGAGATCTCCGATCCTCTTCTCAAAGTAGCGCATGAGCAATAACAAAAAAGTATTTGTCTAAACTCTAAATTAGACAAACAAGTGACATTTGAGAAATTACAATTGGCTCTCTCAAGTGCACAATGCCTAGGCCTATTATTCTAAACCAATTAATCTATTCGATTTTGAAGGGAAAGAGATGTTTATACAGGGGTGTTAAACTAAACTTCATGGTGACTGACGTTGCTCAGTTGTATGACATCTAGAAACTACGTGGAATGCTACCAGGTCTACACTCAGTAGAATCTAACGAAAAAAGTTCATATTATCCTACTCAGAATCCGTGCCATTCACAACTAAAATCATTTAGTTCACAATCAGCTGAAATCTCAAGAAAAAATATGTTTTTGGCCAAAAGGGTGGTGTGAAAGAGTGTGAAAAAGCATGAATGATGGTGTTGTGTGAAGTGAAAGAGGGTGTCTGACCAGACACTGAGGAAAATCAATCATTTGCCAAAACAGCTGTATGCAAATGTTAATATGTGGGCCCACAGGGCAAATTATGCCCAGTAAAATAATGACCATGGATGAATTTGGTTAAGTTTCAAGCAAAACAAGCTTGCTCTGTCCACCCCACTTTCTTTTCAGCATATCATAATGGAGCTGATTCTGTGTCAAAAGGATAAAATATTGTATTTCTGACTGTTAACAGAAATAAAGTGGGTTGAGTGTTTTCCAGGTCAAAAGGCCTATGCTACTGAGCAAGATAGGCCTAGGAAATTATCCAGTGATATAGTGGAACTCAGTTTATAAAACAAAGAGATAACTGAATTAGCAAATTGTTGAGAATAAAACTGAAATGAATTGAAAAATAGTAAGGATGCAGATAACTGAGTAAAACCAAATTCTTTATTATATTATAGAAAATGGGTATTAGCCCTATACTCATTGTATTGACAGCACTGGATTTGTGAGAGCTCAAAAAGGGGCCAGGAAAGCCCTCAACCCACATGAAATCTCCAC